ACCATCTTGGTCCAATTGCGAGCAGTGGGCTCAACAATCGTTGCCACTACTGCAACGTCCACCTCCTGGTTCAGTGATTTCCTGCCTCTAGTCCGAGTAACGGGTTGAGAGAGGCTGTGACCAGCAACGCCCAGCTAATTTTTGGTAGTCATTAGGACAGAGAGGGTTTCACGCATGTTTGGTCTCGCTTCAGGCCTGGTCTCGATACCCTCGTCCTCGAGGATAGACACTGCCTCGGCCTTCCCAAATAGTGCTCAGAGTACCGGTTGGCGCACAGTGCCCCCAGCCCTTTTTTTTTTTTTTTTTCTTTTTTTGTTTTAAAGGAAATAATTAATCTTTAACAGAAGAGAGTTACAAAGGTTATGTCCAAACCACTGGGTTTAGGTAGATTCCACCGCTCTGTATGTTTCGATCTTGCAGTAATCGGCTCTATGCATTCCAAACGGTTGCGTCAAACCCGAGTGGCCTGATCGGTTTGATTCTAGTAATCCAAGCAAGGTTCTCCTTGGTTTGAACATCCTTAAAACGTTTTGGAATGTGTTTCCGGGTGCTGGTTCATTGGAGCTCTCAAAACTGCTTTGTTCTGTTCCCTACTCCTACCAGACCTACAAAGGTGAAGGCGTGCCAGCTGTTTCCCCCAAGCCTAACTCATGCTGCCGGCCGCTGACTCAGCTCCTGACCTTCCATTTCTAAAGCAAGTGATTTCAGCCGGCTGGTGCACGTAGATAAGTCACATAGTATGCACATATTTTTTCTTAGTTTTGTTTCCAAACTAGGTATTTAAATTAGACACTTCAAACTTGGGCTAACTCTGTTTAAACTTGTGCCACTATGCTTCGGGGCTGACGCCTTAGTACTGTCAAACTCTTTTTAAAAAGAAACTGCCAAACTGTCCTCCAAAGTATCTGTACCATTTTGTATTTCCTGCAGCAATGAATGAGAGCTCCTGTTGCTCCACATCCACACCAGTGTTTGGTGACATCAGTGTTTTGAATTTTGGTCATTATAATAGATGTGTAGTGGCATCTCACTGCTATTATGCTTTGCACACTCTAATGACATGATGTTGAGCACCTTTTCATATGCATTACCATCTGTCTATCTTCTTGGGTGAGGTATCTGTTCAGATCCTTTGTCTACCTTTAAATTGGGTTATTTTCTTGACTACTGAGTTTTAAGAGTTTGTCTATTTTGGGTAACATTCCTTTATCAGATATGTCTTTGGCAAATATTTTATCCAATCTGTGGCTTGTCTTTTCTTTCTCTTGACAATGTCTTTCAAAGAACAGGAGTTTTTAAATTTAATGCAGCCTAACTTAATTTTTTCTTGCATAAATTGTGCTTATCATGTCATATCTAAAAAGGTATCACCAAACCCAAGGTCATTTATTATTTTATCCTGTTATTTTCTATGAGGCTTTAAAAAAAAAAAACAAAAACGTTTTTTAGAGATGGGGGTCTCACTCTGTTGTCCAGGTTGAAGTGCAGTGGCACAATCATAGCTCACTGGGCTCAAGCTTCCTCCCTCCTCAGCCTTCCAAGTAGCTGGGACTGCAGGCGTGTACCACCACAACCAGCTAATAGGAGTTTTATAATTTGCATTTTAAATTTAGATCTGTGATCCATATTCAGTTAATTTTTGTGAAAGATGTAAGTTCTGTATCTTGAGGTTTTTTTCATGTTAATGTCCTGTCATTCCAGCAGTTGCTTTTTTGTTTTTTTTGGTTTTTTTTGAGACAGAGTCTCACTCTTGACACCCAGGCTGGAGTGCAGTGGCATGATCTTGGCTCAGTGCAGCCACCACCTCCTAGGTTCAAGTGATTCTCCTGCGCCAGCCTCCTGAGTAGCTGGGATTACAGGTGCCTACCACCATGCCTGGCTAATTTTTGTATTTTTGGTAGAGATGGGGTTTCACCATACTGACCACTCTGGTCTGGAACTCCTGACCTCAAGTGATCCACCCACCTTGGCCTTCCAAAGTGCTGGGATTACAGGCATGAGCCACTGCGCCGGCACATTCGTTGAAAAGTCTACCTTTTTTCTTCATTGACTTGCCTCTGCTCCCTTTGTTAAAGATCATTTGACTGTATTTATGTGGGTCTGTTTCTGGGTCCTCTATTCTGTTCCAGATCTATTTGTCTATTCTTTCCCAATACCACACTGTCTTATTTACTTTAGCTTTATAAAAGTTTTGAAGTTGAGTAATGTCAGTCCTCCAATTTGTCTGTCTCCTTCAATATATTATGTTGACTATTAGGGTCTTTTACTCCTCCATATAAACTCTAAAATCAGACTGTCGATATCCACAAAGTAACTTACTGGGATTTTGATTGGGATTACACTGAATCTAGATCAAGCTGGGGAGAACTGATATCTTCTTTGACTTCTTTCATTGGTTTTGTAGTTTTTCTCATATAGCTCTTGTACATATTTTGTTAGATTTATAGCTAAATATGTGAGGTTTTTTGGTGCTAATGTAAATTATACTGTAATTTTTTCTTCCCCTCCAATACTGTATTTTTAATTTCAAACTTTAATTCTTCATTGCTGGTATATAAGAAAGCAAATGACTCATATATTAACATTATATCCTCATACCTGCTATAATCACTTATTAGTTCCAGGAGTTTCTTTGTTGACTCTTTGGGACTTTGCACAGACAATCATGTCATCTGCAAGCAAAACAGTTTTATTTATTCCTTCCTAATCAGTATACCTTTTACTTGCTTTTATTGTCTTATTGCATTAGCTAGGACTTCCAGTATAGCACTGGAGTGGTGAGAGTAGATAGCCTTACCTTGTTCTGGTTTTAGCAGGGAAAACATCTAATTTCTCCCCTTATTAAGTATGATGTTAGCTGTAGGGGTTTTTAAATAGATATGCTTTACCAATTTGAGAAAGCTCCTCTTTCCAGTTTTCTGGGAGTTTGTATTATACACGGATGTTGGATTTTGTCAAATCCATTTTCTGCGTTTATTGATGTGCTCATGTGATTTTTCCTCATCGGCCTGTGAATGTGATGTTTACATTGATTGATTTTCAAATCTTGCAACTCAGCCTTGCATGTAAATCCCACTGGATTGTGGTGTATTATTCCTTTTCTATATTGTTTGACTTGATTTGCTGATACTTTAGAGGCTTTTTCATTTCTGTTCATGTGTGTGTGTCTGTGTGTGTATTTAGAGAAAGAGAATGTGCCTAATGCTAACAACGGGTGAATCAGTGACACTAGGTGAAGGGTATGTGGCTGTTCCTGAAGATTACTGAAACTTTCCTGTAGATATGAAAATGTTCAAAATAAAATGTTAAAACAACATAAATATATAAAGCAAAGATTTATAAATATAGAAAGAAATGATCAGAGTGGGAGGTTTTTCTCAGAA